TTTATTGATATTCAAATAAAACAAACCACCCGGAATCCGCTCCTTTCATGCAAACATATTTCGCTAAGAGTTCCTCTTCACTACCGGGAGTGTATCGTCGCAGCACTGCATAATCGTATAGCAACTGATGATGAGGATTCTGTCTATCTGTATAGTTCATACGAATTTGTGTGGATATTGCCTGTAACTTGATTGACCTCAGGGACTCACTGTATGTGCGCAATTGAAATTTTAAAAATCACAACGACAACACAAGAACAACGCCACATAAATCCATCCATAAACGATGATCAGTGATAAGAAGAGGCACCAAAATATTTCGGCCCGATAATTTGATCCTGGTTTGCCAAGGCCCAGCCTCCTGTCGATGCAAGCCCAGTCCAAGACCGCCATCTTCCCAGAACGGTTTACAGACGTACTTCATCGTTGAATTGCTGCTCTCCTCTCGACTCTTTGAATCAACTTTCGCCGTAATTTGACGATTCCGAATATTCACCGCAACACAAACCTGAAACATAGTGATTCGGGTCGTAGTGGGTATATGTCATGTGTTGAATCTACTGATCTCCTCAATAATCTCATAAGTGCACTTTGCAAAGCAAAACTTCAAAATATACGTCTCGCCGGAATTCAGTTTCATGAGATATTGGATATTAATCATTTTATGATATTTAATATGATATGATATATGAGATATTCAATATCATGAGTTTGATATTAAAATCACTTTTTGGTCATATTGATATTAATTTCAGGCATCAGTTAAGACCTCAGATGCGATCACCAATCTGAAATATATAAACAAATACAAACAACTCACATGACTGATTTCAAATGGAATTTGACTGCTGCCAATCGCATGAATTGAGCTCAACAAGGTCATGTTCAATAGAAATATTGCAAGCACAGTTAGTGTTGAAAAGCAGAACATTGTACAGTGAAATGTTTGCGAAAAATACCTGAAATCCCAATGATCGCAGTGAATTCAAATGCTTTTCATCGATTTGTTCAGCTCAATTTGATCAATTTGGAGATGTTTCAATGAATTCTCTGATTATTCAATGAATATGAAATCGAAATTTGTATGAGAATGCCGTGAGTATGAAGCCGCATTCTAGATCATCCCAATCACTTTCGTTATCAGTTCAATCGTTCACTGTCTTCTAGTACGACAAATTCAGCAGAACAGATATCTATCTCCTCAACAATCTCAATCAAACAAAATACCTCACAAACGATCGTGCCCATTTGTGTCGATGATAAAAACTGTT